AAACAAAATGACCTGAACATACATAATGGCATTTAGATATGGTAGGAATGTAGAAATTGACATTCTAATTTAAAATTACGTATATAGTAAAATTTTAATCATGGGAGAAAAGGTTCAAAATTGGGCTAAAAATGACTTCCGTGGGTTCTTGTTTATTACTTTTAGTATATTTGTCTATTTTACTATGAATTATATAAATAATATAAAAATATTAACTTCACTCTCAATTTTTTTTATATGTCTCAAGATTTAAAAAAATTTCTATTGTAAAATTATAAACACTGAAATATAAATTTTAATAACTTTAATAAAGTAATTCAATTATTAAGAATTTCAAATTTCAAGTTAAAAATATCAAATTTGAATTTTAACTTAAGTGAAAAAATATTTAAAAATAATGAAAAGTTATCTCTTTTTATTTAATTCATAATTAGATATACAAAAAAAATCAATTTTAATTGTTAGAACACAAAATATAACTAGATATGAAAAGTTGAACGATCAAAAAAAACCTCTACTCTTTCTTTCTAGAACTTATTTTATGGAATAAAATATCTACTTTAGTGTATATCATTAATCTTTTTTTTTTTTTTTGAACATGTATATCATTAATCTTGCCTTTACATCAAAGGGTAAAAAATATTAATTGACATTGACCGTAGATGATTTTACTTAATATATTTACATTTTTTTTATTTTAGTTGTACAATAAAAGATAATTATCTTATATCTTTTATCTTATCCCATTCATATGCTATGCAACTCGAATTTAGAATCTTTTACATTCAACGAAAAGAAATAATCATTGAACTATTTAGATAGTTAATAATATATTTACATTTAAATGGTGATGGAACAATAAAAAATCCATACTAAGTTGAAAATCTAAATACATGGAATATAATTTATTATAAGGAAGGTGAATTATCATTAGGAACCCTGCTCACATGGACCATTGCTTAGGGATTAATAATTAATATTGTGTAATTTAATATAATTTGAATTATATATTAAATAAATATAATATAAGATTAAATTAATAAATATATAATATTATAAATAAATTTTAAATAAAAAATTAAGTTATATATAATAATATATAATATTATACACTTATAATTTCACATAATATTATAATTATAATATTTTAAAAATATATATATTAACAACTATTTTTATAATCTTTTATATAATTTTTACATTTTATTAAATAAATTAATGTTTATTATTGTGAATTTAATAAAATAAAATAAAATAACTCAATTATTCTCCAATAATAATAATAAGATTTATCTAGCTTATAATTTAACTCATGCCTTTAGATACAAGTTTAAAATATAATTAATATATTTTTAAATATTAATTAATATAAAAATTAATAAAAATTAACATTAATTTATTATTAATATTATTTTTATTTTTAATTAATTAATAATTAAATATTATTTTTTAATAATAATTAATATTAAAAATATATTTTTAATCTGCACCTTGTATCAAAAACCCAATAAAAAATAACTTCGACACATGTCCACAAAGCCACACAGGAAAAGAATGTGGTGGTTAACAAGTCCATGAGTCCACGTAGCAACATACTATTGGCCACCTTTAAAGCGAACGTTGGCTCCTTCCTTTTCTTCCTTCACGTTCTCAATAAAATGGTTAACCTTGTGTCGCTTGTCTCTTTCCGTCTGTAAAGTACTAAGTACTAACAAGCATAAAGACAAAGCGTGCTCGTGGACAATTCAGGGTGAGGCAAGAATACCCTTTTTTTTTTTTCAAATTCTCTCTTCCTTCTCCGAGGAGGGAATTGAAATTAAAGGCCTCCCCACAGACGAATATCTAAACTTGATTCCCTTCCCAGTTTTGGTTCAGAAAGTTGGAATCTTTTTTGTGTTGCTTTTCCAATATTTGGACAGAGAGAGACAATGGTGGGATTGTTTTAAAGGAGTGGATATTCTCTTCTTGGCCTTAATCAGAATCCGTGTGAGATCTGGAATCTCCGAATCAGGTTGAGTTTTGCCACCTCTGTTTCAAACCGACGACGGAAACTCAAGAATTCAGTCGGCACAAGCAAAAGAATCAAGCGTACAGGTATCACGATTTGTTGGTGTTTGTGTAAACGTAAGGGAAATTGAAGACCGGGGATTGCCGACATACATACAAGAGAAAGTCTTCAGGTTTTAGGGAAATAATGGATTTCTGGCCGGAGTTCCTTGCGAGCAGCTCGGGGAAAGAATTTGTGGGTGGAGGATTCGGGGGCATGGCTGGGATAATCTCTGGTTATCCGCTTGACACACTCAGGATTCGGCAACAGAGCTCAAAATCAGGCTCCGCCCTGAGCATGCTCCGCAGCGTGGTGGCTACTGAAGGGCCCTGTGCGCTTTACCGAGGCATGGCGGCGCCATTGGCATCAGTCACCTTCCAGGTTCTTTCTCATGATTCCAAAATCATTTTTTTCTTTTCAATATTTCAGTCGTGGGGTAGGTTGATTTCGTAAAAAGGCAAAGCTGTTAGGATTGCATTTGAGTGGATCACATGGGTGTTCTTGAGCCAAACCTTATCATCAAAAATCTTGCTGATGAAATATTCCAAACAAACAAAAAAGTGAACCCACCACTTTTTTGGTCCCAGAAAATCTCCTTTCCTGTGGGAAACATGGTGGTTGAAAATTCTTAGTGAAATTGTTTTCTTGAAAATTTTGGTCATCTCCACTACTACAAATGATGGATAATGGCTTTGACTTTGATCCCTAGTGATGTCACTCTTTTGGAACCTAGTCTAGTATTCTGTGTTAATGTATCACATTGAACTTACAGATTGTGATATCAGATAGTGTTTGCATGAAAAAAGGAACATTTCCTGTCCAGACAGGCTTGTCTTAAGCAAGAGTATGCATGAACAACATGACTGTTTCTTTTCTAGATAATATTGCTTTGCTTTCCATCAAATCAAAGTCGGTGAGTCTCTAGAATTTTCCTCTAGAAAAAGAAAACAAGATGTTTATAGTTACAAGTTATTATAATCCTATGATGATTTGATGCATTTTCTTTTTTCAAATGTTTTTTCTTGTTGGATTGAATCAAAGATGACAATAAAATTTCCAATTTGCAGAATGCTATGGTTTTCCAGATATATGCCATTCTGTCGCGAGCATTTGACTCTTCTGTTTCTGCCAATGATCCTCCATCCTACCAAAGTGTTGCTTTAGCAGGAGTTGGCACTGGAGCCTTACAGAGCATTCTGCTGTCCCCAGTTGAACTTGTTAAAATCCGTCTTCAGTTGCAGAATAGAGGTCCTACAACCCTTCATCCTACTGCTTCTCATAGAGGTCCTATTAGTGTTGCGAAAAGCATATGGAGAACAGAAGGCTTGAGGGGAATATACCGGGGATTTACCATCACAGTCCTCAGAGATGCACCAGCTCATGGCTTCTACTTCTGGACGTATGAATATGCTAGAGAGAAGCTCCACCCGGGTTGTAGAAAGATGGGCGACGAGAGCCTTAGAACAATGCTGGTGGCAGGAGGGTTAGGAGGGGTAGCTAGCTGGATCAGCTGTTATCCCCTGGATGTTGTGAAAACCAGACTGCAAGCTCAGTCACTATCTTCCCCACGGAAGTACAATGGCATTATTGATTGCCTCAAAAAAAGTGTGAAGCAGGAGGGGTCTGGTGTGCTCTGGCGAGGATTAGGAACTGCTGTTGCTAGAGCTTTTGTGGTGAATGGAGCTGTCTTTGCTGCTTATGAGACTACATTGAGGTGTTTGTTCAATAATGGAAGCATCCAAACAGAAAACACATTTTGAAAGAAACTGCATTTTTATTTTTTGAATAAGTCACATATATTATGTGTAATAACGTATTCATAATTTAGCAGCAAAAATAACGGGAACTCATAATGTCACATTGTCGCTGGCAAGGTTACTTGATGTGATAAACATTTGTTTTCCGGAGAGAAGCAATTGAATTGGAGACCCATGTCGCAAGATTTTCTTTTTCTCGAGTTTATTTGCCACTTCAGCTTCTTTAAAGGTTCTATGCCTCTTTCGCCTTCTTTATTGCACTTTTCCCTGCGCCTTTTGCTGGACAAGAGACAACAAATGCAGTCACATGAAGTTGCTTGTTATTTACTTAAATGCACCACCGGCCATGCAAGATCTGAAGAAAGATGCGAGTCCTGTGACAGTCGGCAGATATGGGTACTTGGAATTCAGAGAAGGCGTAATTGCATTGTCAAGAGTCTCCATGACCATGCCTCTCACTGCAGAATTGCACATCAAGGGGCCTTTGCCTGTCTGTCCATTAGCCTAATCTCTGCCATTAGATGGTGTGGATCCACCATATGGACCAGAGAAAAAGATTTAAACAAGAAAATTCAATTTAACCCTCCAAGGCTGAAAGTCTGGAACTTTGTATTAAACCAAACCCTCAAATTCCCTTGTATTAGGGAACCTATACTTGCTTATCCGTACACAACAGTATGAAGGTGGGCGGATTTGCTTGAAATTAAGTTAAATGTATTCCATTATGTTCAGGCTGTACCTAACCTCAGATCAGATAACAATTTGAATTCCAGATTATGACTCACCTTTTTATCAATCTCATCAATAAACTTTGACAATTCCAAATGGCTGAGATGAACAAGCAGATGGCAAAAGGGTAACGTGCTTGTTATTACAAATTTCAGGAGTTAGCTTCGATCATATAGACTATCATTACTTATGGTATCTGCACTAACAGAAATGTCCATCAAAAGTCTCACAAAATACAGAAACTGAGGCAGAGCACTACATTTCCTTGATCTATGGTGTATAACAACATAAGAGGCTCCTACTCTTCAGCAGTTCTGGCTTTTGTATACTAGCTCTCACTCTTGGCCCACTTTTTGGACAATTGATTCCTGCCATAAAGAATAGGGCCACTGTTATGGAAGCGTTTAAAACCATCTAATACTGTCAAATGTCTATCAATCTAAATTAAGCAATAAGACAAAGAGTACGTTAGAACTGGATCTAACAAGCAAACGACCACACTATCTTTTTGCATCTAATAACAGACAAGCAAGAAGGGACACAGAGGGCAGAAACCACATGAGGAGGAAATGAGTAACAAATATAATAAAAATAATTGATGCATCCATTGAAACATATCTGCATACAGCATTCAGAGTGATTCATTTGGACTGCATTCTTTGGACTAAGTAGCAAAGGTGTCTTAATCACCATAACTCCTTAACAACATAACAATTGATTTTTGCCACTCAGTGCCCTGTGGTTAATCATTTGTTATGTGGGTTTTTACTGGTGGTGGCTGTATGGTTTAAGTTGTGTCACGGACTCGCAATGTGTCTACATGGGGTAGTATCTCTTGACAGCTACCCTTTACAGTTGCAATTCTCTTTCACATCTGTCTTTAAACTACTCTACGAGATTTTGACAAACTCTGCTGCTGGATCTTGATAACCAATGAGTTTGGTAGTGAAATCAGTGCCATTAATAAGCTTATTCAATTTTCTGCATTACAACAGATCAAGTTGAAGCACACAGACAACAAAGTATATCTACTTCTAGATTGTTTGGTTGCAACAGAATCAACACAACATCCATTAGAGACCCGAGGATAAAATGAGAAAGACATATTTCTAGAATGAATATCAAGAGTTGAGACCTCATCAGGCTTCTCCTTGTTCGAACTTTTCAATCCTCTCCTCACTGAGATTAAGCCCTGCCATTGCATCCTCTAGTCCACAACTAATTTCCACCAGCACATGAGGATCATTGTAATGCCTAACAGCCTGCACAATACCCCGAACTCGGTTATATGGATCTGAGCAATTAAACACCTCTGATCCCACAAAAACGCCATCACATCCCAACTGCATCATCAATGCCGCATCTGCAGGAGTTACAATACCTCCCGCTGCAAAATGCACTACAGGAAGTCTACCCATTTGCTTGGTTTGTGCCAGTAAATCATATGGGGCGGCGATTTTCTTAGAAAACGCAAAAACCTCATCCTCATCCATATTGTTCAAGACCCTTATCTCACCCATCACAGACCTGACGTTTTTCACAGTCTCTGCAATGTTACCAGACCCTGATAAATCCCCTTGAGTCCTTATAATCGCAGCACCTTCTCTCACTCTCCTCAGAGCTTCACCAAGATTCTTACATCCGCAAACAAATGGGCTCCTGAAATTGTGCTTGTTAATGAAGTTATCTTCATCGGCAATAGCGAGAACCTCACTTTCATCAATATATTCAACTCCGATCCTCTCCAGTATCTGGGCCTCAACGAAATGACCAACACGAGCCCGAGCAATCACGGGGATCGAGACGCTTTGCTTAATTTCCTTGATTAGAGCGGGATCCGGCATGCGCTGAATGCCTCCGCGAGTTCGCTCCGATACCAAAATTGAGCACGCCCCCACCTCTTCGGCAATCTTGGCCTGTTCCGAGCTCGAAACCTCGAGAATGGCGCCACCGCGAAGCATCTGGGCTATGCCCACCTTGATGGAAAAAGGGTTTTTCTTGGCGTCGGTGATAGCAGTGTTGTTGTAGACCGTGACTGCTCCATCCTCCGCCATCCCTACCAGGTGTTTGCGTGTTTGCCTCAATGAATGGAAGGAGAGCTAAACAACTAAAGAGAGAGGGGAATTAGATAGAACTGCTTTAGCTCAATGGAGTCAGAGATCTGGTTTACGTGTAAGGAGCGAAGAGCGAATAAAAAGAAGGAAGAGGCGGAAGTTGGCGGTGCTGGGCGAGTTCGAGAAGCTTCGGTGAGGGGTTTGTTTAGTCGGTGGGGAAGGGAACCGAAGACCTTAGAAACTTCGCACCCTATCCACGTAGCAAGCAAGCTGTAAGACATGACGAAATTATTTTATGGCACTTGTACATTTTTGAGTTTTTTTTTTTTTTTCAAAAACATTTTTCTTGACCTTTTTCGAATAAGCTCAACTCTCTGAACCCCTAAAAAGTCAAAATATTTCTTGAGATTTTTTTAGTAATTATATTTTTAGTTGTTTTAACCCCTCATTTTTATATAATTTTACTTCATGTTCTTAAATAGAAAATCCACAATAATTGATTTTTTTTAATTTAACTAAAATTACTTAACAAGAACTACAAATTAAAAATAAAAATTTTCAATTTTCATTTTATTTACTATACAAAAATATTAAATTAGTTACTTGCAATAGTTAAATTAAGATAATTAAAAAACAAAATCAAAGGAACTATATTTTACTTTTATAGTAAGTTAAAATTTAAATGTCATTTGAAGCCTAAACTTTGTAATCTAAAAGCATCAACAATCAAATTGTGTAACCTAAAAGCATGAACAATCAAGCTGTTATTTGTTGGAAGGAGGTTGATTTTTTCAAATAAAATTTCGAATTCAAGTATTATAAATAAAGAAATAGATGGTAGGAGAACTTCTACCTTATAAGATTTGATTCAATGAAGTTTTTAAATATTAGATAATTTAGTAAAAAAAAAAAAATTCAAATGGTTATTTGCACACCATTGCTAGAGAGAAAAAGCTAAAAAAGTTGGGGTTGAAAAAAAAAAAAGGTTTTAGGGTTTAAGATCTGTGTACGATTTGCGGGAGTTATATCTTTATAGATCATTTAAAAAAAAAAAGTCTTAAAATGCATGCAAATTAGTATAGTTATACTTTAATGAGATACTATTAAATATAAGTAGGAAACATAGTGAGCAACGTATGTACCTCTAAACGATGCACTAACTGAAGCCAAACATGTTTAACAACCTTATTACTGAAACCTATGGACTACTTGTGTTGTGTGTTCCCTACTGAAAAAAAAAAGTAACAAATATAGCCCATGGAAGATTGAAAAAATAATAACAATAATAATAACCAATAAGTGGAAGTACTTTTGGGTCGGATCAGAAGAGGATTCAGTTCAGGAGACATGAGCGGGCCTAGAAAATGTTTATTTTACCAAAGCCCATCCTAATGTTGGACTGGACAATTAACCTAAACAGGTTACCCGGCCCATGAAAATCCCGACCAAACCTCCAAAAGCAGTAAAAATACCATCCCCACCATGTGACATGGAAGGTGACTATTCATGAATTTTAAAAATCCAAAATAAATCCCCGGCCCCACCAACCCCACAACGAACCGTCGTCGTTTATCGCACCCCCGTGTCACCTTCCACAGTAAATCACCGCACGTGCCAAAACACGCACACTTCGCTTCCTTCAAATTTCAAAGTCTCTCTCTCTCTCTCTCTCCCTCACGCACTCCCACTGTCTTTCTTCTTCCTCGTCACTCCTCATTTCTCCGTTATTCTCAAAGAAGCTTCTTAGCTACTGCATTTCGAAGGTTCTTTTTTCTTATGGAAGATTTTTCGAATTTCTAGAAAGGGATTGAGTTTCAAGGATTGGAGTATTGATAGGTTCTGATTTGATACGGGTGGGGAGAGAGAGAGAGACAGAGAGAGAGAGAGGGAGGGAGATGAACGGAATGGGAAGGCAGGGGCAGAGATCTGGGGCGTCAGGGTTGCAGGTCCATCATCAGCGGCAGTACTCCGATAACTTCTTGGACGCTGCGTCGAATGGAAGGTGGCTGCAGTCGGCTGGTCTTCAGCATCTTTACTCTTCTAGCAACTCCATTCCCCCTCTTCAGGTTGTCTCTTTTCCGTTTTCGCTTCGACCAAGGCCTTTTTGACCCTATTCTTTGGCTCCAAAGAAAATGGAGGAAAATTTTGAACATAATTTCTGTGCTATTTATGGCAAACAGATTTAAGTCGAAATGTATCGGTTTTTGTAGATCTGATAGTATAAATTTAGTTATTTGCTTAGGAAGAATTGGAAAATCTAGAATGTAGAACCACAAAGGATAGTTATTATTTTTTTGAATGATTTCTAGTTGTCTTAATTTGAAAAGGATCAACGAATCAAGGGAAGCAGGAAGTCAGTCTGCCTCAAAGACTAAGCGCATTATGATAGAGGATTTTTTGAACTTAAGAAATGGGGTTGGGACGCCATTTTGTTGGGGAAGACATGGGATTTCGTTACTTTATTAAGATCTGGTGACATAATTTAATCCCATCCTCTGTTTTCCAAGAATTATATAGTTTCTACTGGTAAGAAACTTTTTGAAAAGAAAATCAAGAGGAGAAGGGAATTTGAACAAACCAAAGGGCTATTGTTGCCTTTGTGTTAGGAGGGTAACGTAGTCAGTAGTGGACATTTTATTGGGAACTAGACTGGTTTTCATTGAATTGGCCACCTGTGGATCTTTAGATCCAAGTCTAATGCATGTTCCAACTGTGTGACTGTTCTACTTTGTGTTGGAATTTTGAGCAGGATTATGGATTCTATGGAGGTGGTGGTGCAGGAGAACAAGGGTCTAGAACATTAAGGACTGCACAAAGGGGTTTTAATGCTGGAAATGATTACTTCACAGAGCCTACCACTCCACCGGGTAGTTCCTGGCAGTCAAGCCAGATGAAGAATAATGGAGATCCGAGTGAGTTCAGTCCTGGGCTCTTAGATCTGCATTCTTTTGATACCGAGCTTCTTCCTGAGGTGGGTTTCTTGCCATGGGGAAAATTCATTCTTTTAATTTTTATAAATATGCTCATAGTGTGCCTATAATAAACTTATGGGTACTGAGCTACCTATACTGCATATGAGGTGTGTGTTACATCCACCTTGCATGACGTGCGGATGTTAAAATTGATATTGTAGAGTTGTATTCTTCATTCATGGTTATCATTAGTATTTTGCTATTTGTTTTAGATGCCCGTTCCTAGCCTGTATGATGGGTCTTCTCTCAGTAATCTTGTTAGAGGCAGAAGTTTTGATGACTCTGAACACTACATTTCAAACGATAAACAGACAGGGAGAACCAGCGACGTACCAGAGAACAGCCTCCTGAAAAGCTTTGCTGGAGACAAGGAGAAAGTCAATTCTGTTGCAAAAATCAAAGTTGTGGTATGTTTTCTCTGTAATTATCCCTACCTTTTTCATTTTTCCTTTTTATTAATAGTTATGAATGCTAATGCAATGTCTATCAGATCAGTCATTACTGCTTAATGGCTAGAATTCACACTGAACAACATTGATGCTGTTGCTGGGCTTCTGAAAGCAAAACAACATTTATTTTGTAGGAGATGTCTGACAACTGTTATTGATGTTTTGTCTGTCAGGTGCGAAAGAGACCACTTAATAAAAAGGAATTAGCTAAGAATGAGGAAGATATTATAGAGACAAATTCCAATTCGCTGGTAGTCCATGAAACCAAACTTAAGGTAAGTTGTTTTCTTCTCTCTGGACTCAACAATTTGCCACAGCACGGAGGTGAATTTAGAAAATGGCATCTAAAATGAATCTCCTAGACAATAACATGACACGGGAGGTAATATGAAGTAATGTGAAAGTAAAATCTTTTTGGTAGACATGCTAATGTTTTGGATTTAATGATGTAACAAGCATTAGGTACATTGTGTGTTTTGTCGCTGCATCAGATTGAAACTGCTTTTACTATCTTATGTGCTCTCATTGTTCAAGTTGCTTTTCTACAGTGTTAAACTGATACACTAGCATGTGCAGGTTTTGAAATAATATGTCCATACAATATTTCTTGACTGATTTAAATCTTAATAATCTGTAGGTTGATCTAACGGAATATGTGGAGAAGCATGAATTTGTTTTTGATGCTGTTTTGAATGAGGAGGTCTCAAATGATGAGGTGAGTACATGGCCTGAATATATCACTGGATGAAAGTGAAATGAAATCATGGGAGATTGACATCAGAATTATTAAGATGCTCAGACTATCTTGATATTACTTATTTTAGGTGTATCATGAAACAGTGGAGCCTATAGTTCCTATAATTTTTCAGCAAACCAAAGCGACTTGTTTTGCGTATGGGCAAACAGGTTAGTAGTTGTCTCCAAGTTCTTTATTGATACTATTATAGAGTATGCTCTGCAAATCAGAAAGTTAGAATTTGTTGGTTACATTAGTCAAATGTTGAATAGTTTTCATCTTTCTCAGTATTTTTGAAATTTGTCTGGTGTGGTCCTGTGTGTTATAGATGAGGATAAATGTGCGATCTAATTTGTGGCTAAAAAACATGCTATCTAATTCTAGTCTCAGTCCAAAAATAAAAAATAAAATCCTAATGTTAGGAAGTTGCTTGGTTTATTTCTAAGTGAATCTGCTTCTGTCCCCTTAAAGTTGGATGATATGGTGAAGGTTTTCCCTTTATGGTTATTTTACTACAAGTTTTTATGACTTGCCAGTGAGTTTTTTTCACCCATAGTCATCTCATGTTAGACTTATTGAATATCCAAACAGCTTGAACCTAAGCCAGCTTTTTTGAGCTTATGGTTCTTTTTCCCTTTCAGGAAGTGGGAAAACATATACAATGAAACCATTGCCCATTAAAGCTTCTCGGGATATCTTGAGGATGATGCACCATACTTATAGGAACCAAGGATTTCAGTTGTTTGTCAGCTTTTTTGAGATATATGGAGGAAAGTTGTTTGATCTCCTTAGTGACAGGAAGTGAGTTGATGTGAACCTTCCTCTTTATCTACTCGGTACTAAAGTGTTCCAATTTTCTGACCAAATCTCTGCTTGTGCAGAAAACTTTGCATGAGAGAGGATGGTAAGCAGAAAGTTTGCATAGTGGGTTTGCAAGAATACAGGGTATCAGATGTAGAAGCAATTAATGAGCTTATTGAGAAAGGCAATGGCTCAAGAAGTACTGGCACCACTGGTGCAAATGAAGAATCCTCCCGTTCCCATGCAATACTTCAGCTTGTTATCAAGAGGTCTATTGAGGGCAATCAATCAAAGCCTCCCCGTCTTGTTGGCAAGCTCTCCTTTATAGATCTGGCTGGAAGTGAGCGTGGTGCAGACACTACAGATAACGATAAGCAGACCAGGTATAATGCATTGCTTTATTATTCTGTGATTCTTTAATTTTGGTAGATGTGATTGATTAATTAGCCATTTATAATGTGATGCAGAATGGAAGGTGCTGAAATCAACAAGAGCTTGCTTGCATTGAAGGAGTGCATAAGAGCTCTTGACAATGATCAGGGTCACATTCCTTTTAGAGGCAGTAAATTGACTGAGGTTCTGAGAGATTCATTTATGGGCAATTCACGCACTGTTATGATATCATGCATTTCACCAAGCTCCGGGTCATCTGAACATACTCTAAACACCTTGAGATATGCTGATAGGTAAATCATTTTGTATAAGAATTTTACTTTAGCATTGATTTCACTTGTTACTTTTCCATGTATGTGAATTTAATAAATTTTTTTACAGGGTGAAGAGCCTTTCAAAAGGAAATAACCCTAGAAAGGATGTATTGTCTTCAACCTTAAACCAGAAAGAATCTACCACACTGCCTTTGTCTTCTGCTTTACCAACTGCATCCCTTGTAGAGGATGATATAACTAACACATGGCCTGAACAAAATGAAAGAGATGATCCTGATGCATCAGAAGATTCTTATGAACCAGAGAAACCAATGTGGAAGAAAAATGGGAAACCAAATCCTTACAGTTTCTCTTCTTCAGAGGATAAAGTACGGAAACCCAATGGTCAGACAAAATGGAAGGGCCTACCCAAATCTGATGTGAAAAATTCAAGTTCAGATGATGATCTGAATGCCCTGCTACAGGTATTTACAAGATTGATGATACTTTTCAGACAGTGAAAGCAACATTCTCATGTCTAAATCTTCTGTTACTTTTACCCAGGAAGAAGAGGATCTTGTAAATGCTCATCGAAAGCAAGTGGAGGATACCATGAATATTGTCAGAGAGGTAAATTTCAGCCATTTATTTTTTTCAAGCATTCTCTTACGCTACTAGCTTCTAAGCGCTAGTTCTTATTCCATATAGTTATGCATGATAATCACGTATCCTTTTTAGTTCATTTTGGCACCCACTTGGGCATTTTAACTTGGTTGATAGAAGGATGAAATGAGCCTGGAAGTTAGTCTTGGGTTCAGATCTTTATATTTGTGAGTTGTTCAGCATGCCATAAGATGGGTTAAGGATCACATTGATGATGATTTTCAGATACTGAATTTCTTCTTTTTCTTTTTTTCAAATAATAAGATTCTTTTGTCCAAACAGTTTTCTATTATGCGCAATGCATACCTTTGGCAAGCATACCGTGTTGTTGGAGATGCTACTTGTATGCTTTTGCTAAATGTGTGCATCTGACATTCTTATAGATTGATCATTCCTACTAAACTAATAAATAATAGATCACCTAGCATGTGGGTATTATTATCTGCAGGAGATGAACCTATTAGTTGAAGCAGACCAACCTGGGAACCAGCTGGACAATTATATTTCCAGACTGAATGCTATTCTTTCTCAGAAAGCTGCAGGCATCGTGCAACTGCAAACCCGTTTGGCTAATTTCCAGAGGCGCCTAAAGGAGCATAACGTTCTAGTATCTTCTTCAGGCTACTGATCACCTACAGAGATGCATACATTAATGAAACTACATATAAACTCGACTTATTTCAGAATACACAGCAGGATTGTTGGCCCGATTGGGGGTTTGGTCATGACACATAATGACATGGGGGATAGGCCTTGGTGGATTGAGGTCCTACCCTCTGTATTACATGACATGATAATATGATTAGTATCATGCTATTCTAATCATACTATTCTTTATCCTATTTCAACAAGCTATATAAGCAGGTGTTGGATTTACTCGCCTTCTGGCATGCTGTTGTACATTTTTCTTCATCGTTATAATTCGATTCTTTATTCGACAAAGGAATTGCAATTTTTTTTAACTCGAATTATATTTATAAGGAACTTGATCATTTGAATTAATTGTCAGGATTACTTTGAATATATTTGATTTGAGAATAATGGAGTTAGAGTAAAGGTAAAAGATGAGTCTTTTAATGAACTAAATTATAATCTCAATTATATAATTTAATTAATAAAAAAATTCAATTCGAGAAAATTAAAAAAGAAAAACAGATTTTTAGTTTAAGAGGGCGTTTCGGTCATTTAAGTAATGATTTTTCCCGCCATTTCGGTATTGTGTTAACGGAAACTGTTGCACTCTGCAACTCAGTGCCGTACTATCTTTCCATAAGAAAATCAAGAAAGAAACGAAGAAAATTTGATCAAGAAAACGGAACAAACCGAAAGAAGATGCCAATTTTGCGGTTCGAAATGGCTGCTTTCAGAAATCTGAGCTTTCTCGTGTTCGTCTTCTGCGTTTTGATCTCTCTCAAGAACCAAAATGCCGAGACCAAGAAGGGTTCGTTCGGAATTTCTTCGTTTTCGTCTTCTCCGACGAAGCCGGCTTCGATTTTCTCTGATCTGTTGTCGAAACAAGCCGTGTTATTGTCCACCGAGGACGAGGAGGTCGTCAATCGGAAGATGTTGACAGTGTCGGGGTCGGGGTCCCTTGAGTATGATTTTTATCGGAAATCGTGTCCCGCAGCAGAGAAAATCATTCGAGACGCGGTTCGGGAGCTCTGCAAAAGCAGGCCCAGGCTGGGTCCTGCTCTCGTCCGCCTTGTTTTCCATGATTGCTTCATAGAGGTGAGCTTAATTCCCTTCTCGTTATCTTGTTTTTTGTTTTCTTGATTGGATTTCTCATTTCTTGATGATTTTCACCTTAGTTGATTATTTCATTCCCATTTCTGGACATTGATTCTTGCAAATTTCTTTTGAGACTGAAATCTTGACTAAGTTGCTCAATTCTCACTGTTGTTCAATTTCGCGCAAAATGCAATTTCTAGGGTTTTCTGTGAAAGATGATAACTGTTAAATTTTGATGTTCATAACTGTCCTGTTATTGAGATTTCTAATCCATATTTTTCTGTTCAATCTCTATACTTTTCAACAGGATTTTGTTTTTCCCTTTCTGATTATTGGTTAATTGTGTGATGGAAACATGTAAAGGGGTGTGATGCCTCTGTTTTATTGGATGGTGTGGAAGGAATGCGTTCAGAAAAAGATTCCCTTCCCAATGAAAGCTTGAAGGGGTTTGATGCAATTGACATAATCAAGTCAAAACTTGAAGAAATGTGCCCTGGTGTTGTTTCCTGTGCTGATATTCTTGTTCTGGCAGCCAGAGAGGCCGTTATTTTGGTGAACCAATCTCTCTTGTTCATCATGCTTACAGACTTTATGATTTCGTTATTTTCTCCGTCTTATGTTGCTTACATGTAATATTGATTGTCAGGCTGGTGGACCATTCTATCCACTGAATACTGGTAGGAGAGACAGCACTGTTGCTTACTCGGATATGGCTACTTATGAGCTTCCTTCACCCCATGCTGATGTCTCTGAAACACTGGCATCCTTTGCCTCGAGGGGATTCGATGAGAGAGAGACTGTCAGCCTATTAGGTATGAAGCCCTTTTACATTTCTTTCCACACTTTTCTTTCTTGCTTCTCAGTGCATGATGGCTGTTTGTAATTGATCTTGAATTTTTTTTTTTTTTTTACTATTCTAGCTATTTGATTTATCATGTCAGAGAAATTCTTCTGGATGCAAAGATAGTTAGGAGAAGAAACAAACAGATTAAAGTGTTAATTTAAATTGTCCCTACCCGAAGAATGAAATGTGCAAAGGAGGACATCTATTGACTTTTGCTTAAATGAAATCCACTGAGAATTAATACCCTCATGAAATCATAAAAAATTTGAGTTTGTTTTCTTTGTATTATATGGATTGGTATTACACTGCTCTCATAATGACTTATTTTATGTCGAAAATGAAAAAGTTGTTTCTTTGGCTTTTCAAGCTTCTTATGTTCTAGTTTTAGGATAAAAACTGGGTTGTTTTTACCCTGCTATGAGCAATGCATTAGAATCTGATTGTCTCTCCTCTTTGCTTCAAGGCTCTCACAGCACTGGAATAACCCACTGCCGGTTCTTCAAAAATCGTCTGTACAACTTTGATGGCTCTGGACAGCCTGATCCAACTTTGGATTCTGGATTTCTCAACCTATTGAGATCAAAATGTGACAATACTCTCCCATCAAGATCATCAGCCCCATCAGCTTCTTTAACCGGTTCAACATTACCTTTCAACACTTCACTATTATCAGCAGCAGCAGAAGCACCTTCCATTGACAGATTATCATCATCACCTGAGGACGAGGAGGAAGTGATGGATATGAATTATGGGGAACCAGCAGCGGAATTTGGCACTGTGTACTACCGCCACCTCCTACAAGGTAAAGGACTCCTTTTTGCTGATCAGCAGCTGATGGCAGGGGAAGAGACCAGAATTTGGGTTAGAGCATATGCTTCAGATCCTTTCCTGTTCCGGCGAGACTTTGCCCTAGTCATGATGAGGCTCTCAAATCTCCGAGTTCTGACAGCACCCAGAGGTCAGATCCGGCACAACTGCTCTAAGGTGGCTTGATAGGTTTATAGCTCACTCAACCTAATCTCTGAGGATTCTATCACTTCTTTGCCTTCACAAATTACATTTGCCCATTTACTGTGCAGTCAGTGAAGTTGTTTAATTCTTTGGTACTTAAATCGAAATTCCTGTGGTTACCTTGTAGAAAAAACACATACATATTACAGAAACTGGCTGCTTACACTGGTTCACATGTTAAAAAGATAAAGCGATTTTACTGCAGAGTTTGTCTAAATTTATGAGTTCCAGTTTATGATTTTGACATTGTGAAGGAAAACTCTTACTGCAGCCCATATGATGCAAGAATCTCTATTGATGAAAAGGCTTGAATGCTTAAGCCAGAGCAAACACTATAGACAAATGGTTCCATTTGTATTGCTGCTCTCTGAGCTGCACTGATGCACATCAATTTATTGGAAAACACATGCTTAAGTAAATAATGATCTACTGAAACAGATATATAAGAGAGTAACAACAGCATCCACACGGTCACACAACACAGAAGAATTTATTGAGAACAAACAAGATCCAAATGCCCGAGGAAGAAAATATGCTGGTGGCATCTAAAGCCTTATTGATCCAAGTCTCCGCTTTGAATTCTTGATGCTTGCAGAGGCCTGTGGAACTGAGAATTCTGAGTACATGTCCGTGAAGAACTTATCAACAATGTCAAGGTATACCGGGCTTCTTAGTCGGGAGTAGTAGTGGAGTGCCTCTTCAACATCCAACACCTGTTCTACATCACCAATATCCATCATCTCAAATGCCTTCATTTTTTGTTCTAATGCAGAAGATCCTCCTTTTTTATTCTGAAATTGCTCCTCTCTCTTAAACGTATAGGAACTTTCCGTGTTCTTTTTCTCTTCTTTTTCTCCATTCTCCTGCTCCTTCTTCACTGGACTCTGATTTTTCCTGAAGCTTCTGCGACATGCCTCTTCTTCCTGTACCAGCTCTTCTGATGGCATGACAGCATTCTTCTTTCTCTTCTCTTCCTGCACAAAATTGAAATCCCATTCAGAATAAAAGTCAGCATAGTATTGATCTGCCCGGTGCTTCTTTTTCTTATCACCACCACAAGATAAGGGATTAATTAAGAGGTGTGGTTTTGGAAGCCTTTGGTACCCTCCAAAGAAGAAAGATCTAAGGTTAAGAAGGGGTTTGTGAAAGAAGATCCTGGTTTTCTCAATGGATGTTCTTAACTGCATTTTTGCCTCTAGAATTGAATAGTGAGGCTTGTTAATGTTTCAGTGTCTCTATCTGCAAATAAAGACAGAACTCTATTATGTTTTTGCCCCCTCCAATTTTCCTTTCAAAAACCAGCTAATGGGACCTAAAGTGACAGTTTCTCCTGCTTTGGCTTACAGACTTCCCTTTGTTCTCTTCTTTCTGTCCCTCTTTGCAAAACCAAACTCTGACCGTCTGATTCATTGATCGTGAAACTGGTCAGATCATGCTTTGAAGCAAAAGATTTTCCCACCATCACGGGTTTTATAACTGAGTAGGTGTGTGTTATAACCAAACGGCATAATATTAATGTCACACAATTCTATTTAATTTTAAAGTTAAAAATAATTGATAATTAATAAAAACTTGATATTTATTATTTAATTTATTGAGATTAATTTATTAATTAGTACTTTCAAATATCATTATTACTATTTAAGGAAACAACTACAAACTAATAAAATATCAATCAAATCAAACCATAGCCACACCCATGCATGATCATCCCATTTCTGCTTTCAAGAAATGATTTCAGTAAAAGTTCTTAGGAATCCATTTGACTGCTTTTGTTGTCTAAAGTGCAATTGTATTATTTAAGAAACAAATGTAAAGATAGTCGGTTGCTGAAATCCAAAGGAGATTAATCTTTATTTTTTTCAAATTATCTTTATTAAGGTAACCTTGAACAATAATGTAGGACCCAGATTGATTGTTTTTTGTTCACAAGAGTGAAAGTAAAATCAACATTGGTTTTAAGAGTCTTGGTAGGTTTGGTGTGCAATCTTCATTGCATTCATAATAGGACCGATGGTCCCCCCATGTAATAAGGTTAGCACCTTAGGATCCCAAAATCCAGCATGAGGTGCAATTGAATGCATTTTGCAGTTATGTCACTTTCCTGCCGTTGCCATGTCAAATCCTTGCTACCAACCTTACACAACTTGGTTATGACTTGCATAAGATGCAATGACCTCTCCGTCCAATCCCGGTAATTAGTAAAAGACTGATTTTCTAATCTGCATTCTGATTTCAATCACAATTTCTATTGACACCTCCTTGTCTTGTTGAATTTGAAGAACTGATGCAGCAACCTGTGAACTTCACCATAACTGTTCGTTTTAGAAACAAGACAATCTTTTATCCACTGTGGCAGCTTGTTAGTCGGGTGAGAACTTCTCGAACCATCAGATGTGTATCGAGTGTCAACTAACAAAATGGCAGAATAGTCATTTATGTGCCGAATTGCTCTACCTAGAATAGATCCATCAATGAAGATACAAAAAATTAGAATACAGTTGCAAAATAATTAAGATTAAATAAGCAGACAGTCCTATCATGTTAATGCAAGCATGTAGGCACACTAAGAAGCGACTGGCAAGCTAGCCAGATATTGACCAGTTGGATGGTCCTAGACCTCCAACTTTAAGCATTTCTCTATACACCAAAAAAAAAAAAGAAAAAAAAAAGGAACAAAGTAGAAAAATCTTAGATGTCCAAAACTTTAACAGTTAGGAAGATTGTTAGGGCTGGGATGTCTGCTCATGGGAAAACATAATGACGAGCCTAGAAAATTCAATTTCAATCATTCTCTAAATATTGGAACTTTATAACCAGCCCCAAAAGACACATTATGCTTATAATTGATTGCTTGACCTGCCAAACTTTTAATGCACAGTACTCACCAATTGATTGATTTACAGCTTTCATGCAGAGATTTTCATAATATTCTTTTCCTTTGTTCCTGCAACTTCTTAGTATGCTGATACCTGTCTGAAGATCTCCACCATAATATTCATCCCCAACTGAAATTGTGAGGCTTTTAGTAGAACTGCAACCTCCCAAGCTTTCAATATGCTTTATTCTCTCTAACAATTCTATGTCAGATGGACTTGGATAAGGCAATCCAACCATGACTATGCATCTACCCATTCCATCACTGAAGTTGATACCTTCTGATATCTTCCCACCAACTACAGCTAGGAGAATTGCACCATTTTGAGTTACTGGATCTTCTTTTAATCCATTGGACAATGTATCAATGATTTCCTTGTATTCCCTGAGAATGATCTCAACATCTGTGTTTCTTCTAGGTTCCCTGAAGATATGCTTTTTCTTCATGATCCTCTCAAGGATTCCTGAAGCCTTCCACCCATCATAGACCTGTCTTTCATATTCATATGAAGAGAAGAACACGACAATTCCTTCAGGAACCACTGTTGCCAAATTACAAAGCAAGAGCCCTAGTTCATGTATCTGTGTATTTAAATCCAACAACAGATTAGTGATCACCTACTGCAGTTTCTTTGGCCTATTCACAATAAACATCATACAGTTAACATAAACCAAAGTAGCTTTCAGTCAAGTTGAACCATTTAAGAAAAGATATTGATACTAAAGAAATCAAAAAGAGAACATTTTTTCCTTGCTATCACTGGCAAATGTACAAAATCACATCACGTGCTTGTGTGCATGTTAAGAGTTAAGACTGCTATAAACTCACCAAGGTTGACGAACTTCTTGAGCTGTAGCTAAAATCAAAGGAGTGACCAGATGGTCCACGAGAAACTGCAATTGGCAATATACTCTCTCTAGGGACAATATGACTACAGGAAAAGAAATGCAGCTGATCTGTTGGTAACCATGGAAAAAGTCGCTCTCTTGTCTCTTCTATTGGTTGCAGAGTCCCCCCTGCCAGTACAACGGCTTGTGCTTCATTCACGATCTGGAAACAGCATTGAGATAAAGTTATATTAATAGGGCATGAAAACCTTAGGTATTTAAAATGAAGTTTTTCAGACCAAGTCAGGATATCAAATAAATTAAAATTTTAAGGAAATTGGTAGTCTAATAAAGAGGTAAGTATTTTAACAATTATCACCAAAGAGTTTCTACCAAAAATTCAGTGATCAGATAGAGGCTAAAATGCAAAATTTTTCAGACAAACCTCAGAAAAAATCTTTTCACCCGTTAGCATAACATATTTTAAATATCCTCCTTGTCCACAAGCTGGTCTTTTCCTTGAGATTATTATTCGCCCATCACCATCATTGTTAGTCAATGACAATAACATATCTACCAATGCCTGGAAACCAGACAGGCTGCTCCCATCCTCACAACTTTCCCCATTTTCCTTGGTGGCTGAATCTTTCTTTAAGCTGGTTATCTTATCTCCATACCCACTAACCTGGCAAAACCAATTCAGTTATGACCTAACGGATACCAATATGCTTTTGAAACAAAGTGAAAATAAATAGTAAGAAATTAACCTTGTGCATGATGTTGCTTTCCTTTACGTACTGGAGCAATTTGAACAAATTAATATTGTCTATATTGAGAGAAAATAAAAAATCATTTATGGCCATTGAAGTGTCAAAGATGTCCTTTGTTCCACCACCTCTTTCAGAATCTTGGCAAGCACTTGTATAATTCACATCCTTCTCATTAAGAACTTGAAGGAAAGCTCGGGTAAGGACCATAAGAGTTTGAATATATCTTCGATTTCCAGGTCCCAGAAGATTGCAGAATCTCCTGAAGTACTTCTCTATGTGGCTATGCACATTCTCCAACTGAAAGCAATCACACAATAAGCATCAATGAATTATTGTTTGCAAACCTAATATTAACCCTACAAGTCATTTGAATCCCTTGTGCTACAAAGAGACTGTAAATCAACCTACTGCTTGATTTATCAATTTGTCATCAGCTAGTTTGAAGAAGCAATGGAAATATAAGGAAAAAAAAGAAAAAGAAAAAGAAAAAGAAAAAGAAAGAAGGAAAAGAGATGTCAATTTGTTTACCTGTGATAAAGTAATTTTTGCATCATACATGCCGATGAGTGAGTCAGCAAGATTATGTGCTTCATCTATTATGACAATATTGTTCTTCAAATTCAATCCAAGTGATTCACGTGATGATTTTGATAGAAGAGATTGATAGGGAAGAACTACAAGATCAGCTGCTGGGATCATACTTCGGGACCCATAATATGGACAAGTTCCCAGGCCTTTTCCAAGTTGCACAAGATCTTCAATGTCCAAAGCTCCTTCTTGGGAAATGAAATTCCTGAATTGTTTTTGTAGTTGATGTTTTCTAAGCATTGGACATCCTGAAGAAGCCTTGGTTCGCCGTACTCTTCCCTCCTTACCCAGGTCCTGCTAACCAACATTGTCAGTTAAGAAAAAACCTTCTTTTAATATCATCAGAGTTATTCTGATAGAGAATAGATAAATGCTTCTTTGTGGTACAAGGGCTAACAAGATGATAGGACACAATCCTCTGTTTTAGTAGACACAGGATATGACTTATGAGATGTCTTTAATTTGTCACTATATTTGTACAATCTGATTTTGAAGAGTAATGCAACAAAGACAATGAATTATATATTTAAACACATAGAATCAGTAATTTTAACAAATCCTTCTTATTCCCCTGATTTATCGACTCTAACTAAAATTGAAAGTATTATCCAGAGTCAAATCACAAAGTACAATAAACCATTTCTTTTAATTGAAAAAAGAACTTCTTCTGAACCCAAACAGCTACATTTACAACAATAGAATCTTGCACAACTACAGTGACCAAATTATGAGTTATTGTCAGCTGCAAACTAACATTATCATAACTTCATTTACCATCAAAACCTATAAATTTGGCACCACACCATCCAGGTTTCATCCGCCACTTGCTAAACAATAGATAAAGCAATGTAGTCTAGATATCTAATCAAAACTAAACATTACTTAGGAAATGGCAAGCAAGACGATGTCAGATACAAAAAAGATAGTAGTCAGGTAGCTCCAAGGTAAGATTAGAAAACAAATTTGTTCTCTCATGTCTCACTAATTCTAACATCTATGTTCTCCCCATAAATTGATTACTAAGGCAACAATTTTTTTCCTGGTGTGCAAGGACTTACTAGGTGCAAGAACACTAAGTATACATATTAGATTCTCAGTTATAGAAACCCCAGTGTAAAGCCAACCTTTAGACATGCATCATATATTCATATTGCAATTAAAGAATTGACACTAGAATTTTGATACCTTGACCTTAGAAACTTTATTTTTCTTGATCTTTTGAAGCTCCAAGCAACGTTCATTAATCCGAGAGGAGCTCCCAAGTTTCAAAACCTCTGAAATTCAAACCCACGAAGGATCAGACATGCACAGGCAGTCAAGTAACAACAAAACCACAAACTTTTACCTTCATTAATGCAAAAATTTTTCCTTGCTCCCAAACAAACAACATTTATTTCTTCGGAAAAAGTGGTCTTTTTTAGCTCCTTAATAAACTGTGAAAGTTGTGAATGTGTCCGACTGCAAAAATAAACCTTCAAGCCCTCTTCCTCCTCACCAGAATCATCTTCCTCTTCCTCATCACTTGAAGGACTAATAGAAACCATACCCCCTTTCCTCTTCAATTTCGGGCTGCAAAGGCCCTCTTCCTCACTTTCATATTCTTCCATCAAAAACTCCTCATCATCCAACTCTACTGCATCATTCTTCTTCCCTGACCTTTTACACTCCTTTTCCACTTGAGAAGACTCCTCAGGGTCGCACGACTGCAGATCCCAGTAACTTTCACAGTTCTTTCTCCTGTCAAGCTTTCCCAATCCCCGACCAAATTTCTTCTTTTTGCATTTCTTCTCTTCTACTCGAGTAACTGTGCTGGCAACAAAATCTCTCATCCAATCAGGTTCATCTTGTGAACCAATTTGACCATCATTTTCAATATTTTTGTCAGATTTAGACATTATCTCAGATTTTTCCTTCTGCCTCCTATCAAGCACCCACTGTAAAGCACTACAAATGATACTCAAAGTTTTTCCAGTTCCTGTTGCAGCATATTAAATTTAGGCTTAGCCATGATAAAACCCAAAAAAAATAAAAATAAAAATAAAAAACCAAACCCCAATAAAGTGTAGCCATTGCTTCAGCCTTTTCTAGACTAATAATTTTCTTGCTTTTATCAGAAACTAAAACACTTAATAGATAAAATATTGAACACCCATGTTAGCACCATACTTTTTTCTTTTTTTTTTCTCTTCCAGAAAAATTCAAGCGCATCACAAATTGAGTAAAAGTGAGAGAGATACCGGTTGGGCTTTCGAGAATGGAAACACCGCCTTTATCTAAATAATCATAAAGGGCGTTCATAAAATCGATCTGAATCGAGTAGGGCTTATACGGAAACGCAGGAAATTTCGAATCTCCATGTTCCATTTTCTCTTTTAAAGAACAACAGCTTTCGCTTCTCCATTCTTCCAATTTTCCTTGCCTCTGCATATTTACTGATTTTTCCCGTCGGAGCTTTCCCTCTTTTTAAGCTCACTGGTTTTCGGCTTTCGCTCCTGCAATGATTTTCCCGCGAAAATCAGGAGGAGGAAGATGGACTTTTGGGCTTTTGGGCCTGTTTTGGACTCTTTGGAGGTCAAGTGGGCTAGGCTAACGTACTGCTACCAGTCCTAGACTGGGTTCTGTATATTAGGGCTTTGCTCACTGTTCTTTTGCCCCAGCTTCCAGGGATGATTTATTGATTTTCCCCGAAAACCAAAACGAAGAAGATGGACTTTTGGGCCTGGTTCGGAGGTCAATTGGACTAGACTAATTTACTACAACCTGTCCTGGATTGGGCTCTTCGGCCCGGATCAGTTGGGGCTTCTTTTTCCATCAAGCTGAAAAAACCCTCGCGCAGTCCCACACTCCTTATCATACCCTAATTACTATAAGTCATCTCTACCCCGCCGCTTCTCTTCTCTTCTCTTCTCTTCTCTACCAGAGCCAAAACAGCGTCTCCTGAGTTAGGGGTTCTCCTGCGTCTGCTCCGATGGTACTGTCAAACGCTGGCAGTCTCTTCTTTCTCTTCTTTCCTGTTTTCTTCTTACTGATTTGCATCTTTAGATGGTTGCATATTTGATGTTTGTGAATTAATTAATGTGCAGGGTAAGGGAACTGGGAGTTTTGGTAAGAGGAGGAACAAGACCCACACTCTCTGTGTCAGGTGTGGCCGCCGCAGCTTCCACCTCCAGAAGAGCCGATGCGCTGCCTGTGCTTTCCCTGCTGCCCGCAAGAGGAAATGTGAGCTCCTCTCTATATTTACCTGCTATCTATACATGTGTGGTCTACGATTCTTAATGGATTTGTTCTTTGCTGGATCAGTGAGTTCGTTTTTAAATCTGGGTTTTGATTCCTTTATTGTTGTTAGTCTTGTATCTGATGTTTGCTCCAATTAATATGCTTTAATTTGTCATAGCTTTCTTGTCAACTGTGTTTACCTAAAAATTTTGATTGTTAGTCTTGGCAAACAATTAATTCACAAAAAAGAAGAAGGCTTTATGGATAATATTATATTGTTTGTTGGTTGTATACATGTATGGGTACTGGGATTGATTTTGTTGCATATTTACTGGTATAATGGGGTTAAGTTCTGGATGTTATTATATTACATAGTGTTTGGATGTGTTCTTATGGTAATTTAGCTCTAAATTATGTGTTTGATTGTGGGATTTAGATAACTGGAGTGTGAAGGCTATCCGCAGAAAGACTACTGGAACTGGTAGGATGAGGTATCTCCGCCACGTCCCTCGCAGGTTCAAGACTGGCTTCAGAGAAGGTAAAATGCATTTTCTATGGTTATTGGAGCCTAGTTTTCCTTTAATCATGATGTTTTGTTTTGTTCCAATCATGGAGTTTTCTTCATTTTATTGAATTTAATTTTTTTTATGCTTGTAGGTACTGAAGCAGCACCAAGGAAGATGGCTGCACCAGCTTCTGCTTAGGGTGTTTGAGAAGAAGTCTGCATTAGGAGAAAGTTCTATGAGAAGATTGCTTGATCAATGTCATTTCCATTTGATGCTCAGTGGATTTTTGTTTCCTAGTTATGTAGTTGCTTCAAATTTTGGACAAGGATTTATGCGTATATTGTTGCTTGACATTTTAATTAATTTTATGGTTGAAGTTAAAAGATTTCTGTGCCTTCGCATATGATATCTAAAACCTGTTATGCTGCCAAACATATTATTCGTTTGACATACTTAGCCATACCTATCTGTGCATGGTGGACTAATGAAGAAGGCCGGGTGTGTTGTATGGTCACAGTTACTGGTTGTCTGTTAATAAGCCCCGTATTAGAGTGGTGTTTCCAAAATAAAGGTGGTATGAAACAGCCATTCCAAAATCTGTTTTGGTGTTGGTAACTTAACTGGTAATTTATGTATTCTAATGCAATGATTTGTCGTTTATAACATGGGCTATGATTTATTCTCATTTTCAAGTTGTTGGGAATAATTGTAGTTAAGAAATTGATTTCTCTATTATAAAGCCATGTTAGTTCGCTGGTTATGTAAAAATTTCGTTTTCCATACTGTCATTTTTTACTCCTTTTCACGTAGCCAAGGCCTTTGTTCGTCGGGTATGATTGGGTCACAAACAACTTCCTCACAATACCATGTTATAAAGACTCAGCTTTTTGCCATTTTCAATGGATAGACCTTGCTGAGGCAGTTCTTGAGAGAGTTTTGTGGCTCTGAATGCCCACAAAAATAAAGCAATAGCACGGTTAATTTGAAGCTTCGAAGTGAATTTCTGCGCTATTCTTTTGATTTACATGAAATTTCCTCAAAGTCAAAAATTAATTACAAATTTTTTACCTGTATCTCTTTTCTACTTTTCATCTTTGGTCCGGAAATTTGGATCCGTATGGGAATTGATGCCCTCGACACCGTAAACTGAAATGTATGTTCCAGATACCCAAAAAAAAAAAAAAAGAAAGACCAAAAATATCAGACATGTAAGAAATATACTCTAGAAAAAAATTTTTTAAAAAAATCACCAGGCCACGCTTATCACTTTGATCTCTATAGCTGAAATTTCAGGTATGGAATTCCACTAGTTTGCTTTAAACTTGCCAAACTTGTGCTTTTCTTCATGCAACTGCTTAAAGACGTAATCCAGCTCAGGAAATGCAGATAAAAGCAGTAGTTCAAGGAGATCATATGCCAGTTGCTTCAAACAGACACTGGACTGCAAAAAACAAAGCAACCATCTTAGCACATTGGCAATTATAATTGCAATGCATATTAACTGTAAATGTAAAAGTAACACAGTCCCATTTTGGCCCATTTCAGGTGCTGGATACCTGCCAGATGCCACTTAGATTGGTTTGATTAATATGCTAAATGTCTACTCTCCTTGAAGCACCAAACTTAAATCTCAACACCTGAACCATCAAATTTGCCTATCATTTAAGAAATGTACTGTTCCTTAAAGAAAAGAGCTAGTCTGTTGCCACAGATTTTGAGTATGGGAGCATCTTAAGGTTTCTATTTGATCCAGCCTAGATCAACAAACCACTGTCTGGAAGTGCCTAACAGTAAGGCATCATTAGAAGTGTAATCATCCTAGATTATCATAGAAATTAAACACAAAAATTTGACACCATGGCTGATCCCTAACCATATCAAAATGACCAAGGAAGAAAATGGGACTCATATGAAGACCCTCCTGACCAAGTGTTGAAGCTTATGAATTGATTGAGGCCTCTTTTAGGGACTTAAGTCAAACCATTGTACAGAATTTTTTTCTTTTTTCTTTTAAAAAAAAAAGGGGCCTCATAATCTCCTCTTGTAAATACCTGAAGAAAGAAATAGAGGTCTTTAGCACAATGTTCATACTCCTTGCGACCAACAAGACCCACAATAGCAGCAGGTGCATTTTCTGCATCAGAAAATATAGTTTCATGGTTGGCAAGATGCATTCTACTAACACTTCATACGTTTTAATGCAGAAAATGGACAAAAAAACATATAGGAAGAATATTACCAATCATCAGCTCATAAACAAATTTTGCCCGACGCTCTGCTTCCTGTTGTTGCTCTTCACTCAATCTCAGTGAAGATAGTTCTGCAGGTTGCTGACCATGAGGTGAACTTTGGGATAAGCTACTGGAACGTTGCTGTCGACGCCTTGGATGCTTGGTTATGAAGATACCATCAGGCCAAAGTATCTGTGGAAGAAAAGCATATGATTAGACAAGATACACAAGCACTTTGATAGGCTTTTCTTTTATATTCAATACTAGAAAATGATTCTATAGATTCAGTTTCTGTCCCACCAAAAATGTAAAAGATTTTCAATCAGAGAGTCCAATAATGACTAATAAAATTTGATATACCAAAGGCTATAAGAAAATAAATCTTAATCTAAAGAGTGAAAAGAATCTCAATTAGAAGGACGTGTTACTAACATACTAACATGAACCACAACAATGATTCTAAAGTATTCTAGCACCAGGAATTTGGCTGTATTAAACAATCAGAAAAGAAATATTTTCTTCTTCCTTGTGTCATTTTTTTCTTCTGTCTTTGATTCAATGACCAGGGTATACATTACACAATGAGGATTGCACCCAATACCAACAGGAATTTGGATGCTTGGTTATGAAGATACCATCAGGCCAAAGTATCTGTGGAAGAAAAGCCTATGATTAGGCAAGATATAGATGCACTTAGTAGGCTTTCTTTTATATTCAATACTAGAATATGATTCTATAGGTTCAGTTTCCATCCCACCAAAAATGTATAAGCTTTTCAATCAGTAAATTTAAGTCCAATAATGATTAATAAAATTTGATATACCAAAGGCTACAAGAAAATAAATCTTAACCTAGAGAGTGAAAAGAATCTCAATTAGGACCTGTTATTAACACAATAACATGTATCACAACAATGATTCTAAAGTATTCCAGCAACAGGAATTTGGCCATATTAAACAATCCAGAAAAGCAATATTTTCTTCTTCCTTGTGTTATTTTTTATTGTGTCTTTGATTCAATGACCAGGATATACATTATACAAAGAGGATTGCACCCAATAACAGCGGAACGAAAGTTGATTATAGATCTGGATACGGCCACCCAAATGTTTTAAGAAATATGTTTTAATGACATTTTTGTTTCCTTTTTCTGCTTTCATTCTTAGAACATGAAAATAAAACAAAAAAAAAAAAAAAAGGGTGTTCGGTAACTTCTTTTTTTTCTTTTTTGTTTCTGAAAAAGTGAAAATAGAAAACTATATTTCTACCTTTTGACCTTAAGTACTGTCCTTGAATGGTAAATAGTACAATCACATTCACTGTACAGCTGATGATCAATAGTTGATCACTGATTCTGTATTCCTTCTTTTTTTAAGTTCAAAAACTTAATATTCTACTTTTAATCTTTTTTTAACAAATGTTTGTTTTTTAAAAACTATGCAATGATTGATTGCCAATGATGTTCTTGCCTTCAGAATTTTAAAACAAGACAAAAGTTAAAATAATCGAAAAACGAGAAATTGGAAAACAACAATACTTAGTTTGCTTGCTTGCACTTTGTAGATCATTTCTTGAAATCAATTGCTGAAATTAAAAGATTACCTGCTCAACCCGCCTGATTCCTGAAGCAACCACTGACCCCTTGCGCAGAAGTTGTATCTTGTCCAACAACCAATCATCCAGAGCATCACCCATTCCAAGTTGAAGTATTTGTTTTGCCACCCAAAATGCTTTCCGCCTTACACAAACAAGGAAAGTACTCAGTAAAACTTGTTCATATGGGCAGATGCCATATTGCAAAGCTGAAGAACAAAAAAATTGGATTCAGAATTTCCAGGTTCTTCAGTCACAACACCTGATCCATCCACCTTCCTGGAGCTGGAAAATGACATCCACCAAATCTAGTATGGGAAGGGTTAAATTTGGGGGCACCCACTGCAAAGAAAGTATATCTGTTAAAACATTTCAACTCATAGCCTAAAAACCACCATAATCTTCCAAGAAATAAAACAGCTTTGCTAACAATGACTTCAGTGTTACCTAACAGAAAAACGCAATGTCCCTATTTCTTCCAGAAGGCCAAAAAATATGAACAGAAACATGACAACTGAATACCTCTTTAGGAAGAGTTTGGTCAGTTACGGCATCAAGAAGCATCTCAGAAGTATCTTCCAGTCTATCACTATCTTCTTCTTTGACATTCTTACCCATGTTTCTGATAGAGAAGGTATTTTGCACTTTAGTATCTGAATCAATGCCAAAATCTGATGATGACTTTCCAAGATGTTCTTCACCAGGATTTTTTCCTAGAGAATTCACAATATCTTTTCTATTCCTTACACCATCTGCAGCCAGATTATGCTTCATCTGCAGGGCAGATTCCTTGCTTTCAGTGCCCAAGTGATTTATCCTAGTCAATAAGGGGTTCATCACAGGCCCAAAACGATTTGAGACTTCTTTTCTCTTTTCAGATGGGGTATCATCTAGATTCACTGGAAAATTCATAAGCAAAAGAAAGATAAGATTAATCAACATGGGAAAAAGGAACAAATTAAGCAAAATTCAAACTTCAGATTGAAAGCTTGAAACTTGATTCACCTGGTAGGGTTTCAACTATAGAAAAGGAATTTGAGAATACATATGTCTGCATTACAGAATGCAAAATCATAAGAAACTAGACATGAAAGCAAGACATTTGAACTTACTACCCAGAAGTCCCCAGAACTAAGCCTTCTTCTTCTCCTTTATTTTTTTATTATTTTTATTTTTTATACAAATACCAAGGGAAACAGAAATCCATGTGAAAGAGGTAAGAAAAGAACCAAACCTGGGAATCAATACTTAGAAAGTCCCAAACTTCTATTGATCCTGAAACTTTAGGAAGCTGAAGAAGCTTCTGTAGAAGCAAAAATATTAATAACCCAGAAAAAAGAAAAGAAAATCAAAATGTTAGATAGCGTACATATTGCCATTAGTATGCAAAGAAACCTCAATAACACTTAGGACAAAGAGTCAGATCTACACAACAAAAGAAAAATTGAAAGAAGAAGATAAACTCTCAAGAAGATAAACTCTCAAGAAGAATATAGTTCTACGGTACTAATGAAATAGCCAAACAAGCATCATGATGCCACACAAGATGAGGTAAAATATTAACTAAAGTAAAACATTGAACTCAGTTACTTCAGTTCAACAATTGCTTTCCTTGAAAAAGAATAACATACGGAAAGAAAATGTGAGTTTAAATTTTATACCTTTAAATGTCCATCAAGCAATTTACACCGTTCTTGAATTACAAGAACATCTAAACCACTGGATAGAAAATGCTTCGGAGGCAGGTGAAGATTGTACTCCGGAAACTCTTTGAGGCGCCGATGCAGTTCTTCAAAATGTCGAAACCTGAAGAAAAACATCAAGAAATGAGTAATGTAATTGGTTTAACTTTGTTAGGAAAATTCAACCAAGAGCCTGTGCAGTGACAAATGATTACAGAATGCACATTAAAGGGCAAACCAGACAGAAGCACAGTGATAAGCAGTAAGCACCTTCTCTTAATTGACCAACCATTATTGTTTCCATCCATAACGGATATGGAATAAACAGCAAACAATTTGCAACCACTCTTCACAATATTTGCACCCAGTACCTGCAAAAAGCAATCCACTTACAACCTTGATATAACAGAGTAAAAGAAGAGAATTCTAGCATCCTGATGTGGACATCATATTTAGTACCTCACATCTCAACTTATAAAATGAATCTACCATCAACGAGTTTTGCAAAGAGTTAACTGTCATGTTATGACTTTCTGGCATACAGATGGAGGCTGCAGATGAAGAAGCATGTGCTCCACTGTGAACTCTACCCAAAAATTCAGTCTCGGAATCATCAGTAGAATCATCAGCTTTTGGAGTATTAAGAATGTCCTGTCCATCTCCAGATAAAAAGCTTGTCCTCTCAACCTCTTGCCAAACTGGTAACTTGTGAATGTTCAATCTAGACATTTTCCTGCCAGGTGGTATTCTTACTAATCTTTGATACCGAACATGCGTGCTATGAGTTTTCTTGGTCATGTGGCCCTCAGGATCTTCAAGTGGATGATGAATGTGTGTGACGGACGTATTTCTATTACTTTTACCATCCCAAACCCTTTTTATGGGGGAATCAAGACCAGTTACATTACCAGTTTCTTCATCTTCAGAAGTATATGAACCGCTGCTTCCTGATTCAACCTCCTCCAGACAACTGAGATTGTGCTCATCACCTTCTTGAAATGACACAACTGAGGAACAATTTGATGTGTTTTTAGCTAATTTGGGAGGTGATTTTTCCACCGTATGGTGATCATTATATCCAGAATGAACAGTGGATCTCTCAGATGAGCTAAAGTTGGTTGGGTTCTTCTCCGCGATGGACTTAGTCATCACCTTTGAATGATCCACTGTAACAGGCTTCGCCTTAGAGGAATGCTGTGGAACTTGCTCAATTAACCTTTGTTCACCTTCCTTTTTCTTGTAGTTTCTCCCTTTTGTCCACATATTCTCAAAATTTTCAGGCGCAAGGACCTCAGTCTTTCTACGCAAAATGATATCTAACATATCACCCCATTCCCCTCCAGAACGATGTTGTTGAACACCCCTTTCAATGCTAGTTTGTGAGTTCATGGGCAGGGAGTTCCATGAACAGGAGGATCGAGTGTCCATGGAAAGCAATGGATCCTTTGAAAGTTGTGTTCCGTTCAGATTATCCATTGCACCAGCAGCTTTGGACTGATCAGTTTTTAACTGCACAAGTTCAACACCAGTAACAGAAGGATCTAGAAACCTTGAAAAATGATCAGACGGAATTCTTGAAGAACCATTTGGTTTGCAATGAGAAGCATCTTCTGTGGTGGTAACTCCTTTAGCCTTCATCATATATATGACAACAGATTCAATCCTTTCATTTATAAACCTGCATCCAATCTCAAGATGAATGAGATAAACAATAACATAATGAAGGGTTCAAGGAAATAATAGAAGGGAAATTTACCTTGGATTGGCTAAGTTTAGGACTGGTCTCATTACAGCACAAGCAAGAAGCTCCCTGACAATATAACGGGAGAAAGAGCACTGCAAGTCTTCAGGCCTGAATGTGAAGGATATGAGACCCTCCATCAAATGTTGTAAAACCTGAATTGAAGATGACACAAAGCATCGTTAGTGTAAGATAGACAAAAATAAGTATAATGCATTTACCCTGCAAGTAGACTGTGCGGATCAACTGCTCTAGCATGATTGTGAGGTCAAATTAAAAATTTAAACAACCTTGTGCTCAGCTTCAGGTGAGAATAAAGCAGGATGCAATTTGCTCTCATCAGCCAGGATGCGCCTTATTTCAATATCTCGATATTCAATAGTCAACGACGCAGATTGTTGCTTTTCAATCTTCGCTTGATTTGCACGAAAATGCTCTAAGTGGGTACAAATGAGATTAATAATGTCCCTGTATCATCCTAGAAGAAAATTAGTTCCCAATTAAAAATAGTATATATAAATTCATGAGGAGAAAATGATGGTGGAACGAATTAAACCTTGTCAGTAAATCAATTAAATTTATATTTCTCAGACGATCAGATAATTCTCCAAGAACACCATTGACGATCTCTACCAGTTCTTCTGGACCTTGTCTATCAGGTGTTACTTTAGAGTACCACAGATCTGTCACCCACTCAGAAAGGAGATGCCTTGTAAAGTGATCTATTGCATCCTCAACAACAGGAGAATTTACTTTCCTTCTCCAATCAGACCGTGGAGCAACTTTAGGCAATTCTGGAGGTTTCTTTGGGGCCAATGTATTTGTTGATACAGGTTTGCTGTTGTATGCAGCAGCTTTTCTCCGCATTTCAAAATCCAGAGAGAAATAGCGAAGGAGAATAATCAAGGAGGCAGCAACAGGCAAGTTAACCAAAACTGAGGAGCTTGTTACTGATTATGAGAAAAAGAAGAATAAGTTGAGCTTAAGATAAGTAAAGAGGATAAGATTGAAGCAAAGAACAACAAAAATAATTGAAAAAAGTCTAATGCAAATCTGAAACTACCAATCACAAGTCCAAATCCAAATTATTAATAATTTTCTTTTGGACTGTGGCAACAGAATCTGAATGACTAATTTTTAATCTAAGCTAATTTTGTTTGTTTTTCCAGCAACGGTCCCCTTTCAGTGAATATAAAGCACAACACTATAAGGTTTCATTGGCCAACTTTCCCTCGATCTAGAAACTGGATCAGTTTCATATAAGTTTTCTGGGGCCTGCAAATCCCCAAGATACAGAGGCAAAACTATGCTTTCACATTATAAAGAAGGAGGGGGATGATGATTTATACTGAAAACAAAAATGTGAAGGAGACAAGAAAGCTATGGTTTTCGAATGTGTAGAAAAGATAGGGTACTAAAAATGTGGAAGTTGAACTATGTTACTATTTTGCTGAATCACAAAAGAATGCATAACTGCACAAGATCCTCTTCTTGAATCAATGGAGGCCCTGTTAACTCCATTCTTGAAGCATTTTGTTCAGAATAGTCCGCCCATCTTTTCATCAATTCTAAAATTCTTCAACTTGGAAATTGAAAGAATGCATACAGCTTATTTTCATTGAAGCATATATTCAAACCTCAGCTACCGCCAACGGCCACAATCAAATTTGTGACATGCAAATGGCAAATTGTAATTGATTGATCCTGTCTATGGTCCAGGTCTCAAATATTATGAAAGAGAATAATATTGGTTTGATTCACAAAATTATCCAAAAGCCCAATCTCAGGTTAAGGAACCAAATTTGACCAAGTAAATTCAAATATATAAGTTTACTTCTATTTATTCTGCCAATTACTGATGTTACTTTAGGAATAATTGCATGATCTAGACAATACCGGCTAGGACTTGCAACTAGGAAAGAAGCAAAGGAGAAAGTAGTCCTTAAAAAGATGACCCAGAGGGAATCAGGTTTCTCAACATTTGCATGGTGAGTGAAGCTATAATGTGGCAAATATTGAGGATAAAGTCATAGTAGAGAGCTTACAACATTATAAATTTAAAGGGAAAGGGCTACTCCATGACAATCAATACTCACACATTCTAAAATGACTAGTTGTTTCTACACTATGGAAGGATAAGGACTCCAAACTCAATGACATAGGTTATCCTCCTTAGCAGTCTAATATACACAACAACTTGCACCAAAATAAGGATAATTAACATCTTACTTATCAAGAAGGGAAAAAAAAATCCTCAATTGATTTTTAGGATCTAAATTTTTCTTTTTTTTTTGGATAACGTGGCTATTGAGGCCTTTGGCCTAACTAATCCCACTGATACTTGCAAACCACCTCATCCACAAATAGCAAATAAAGTTCCACCTTCAAGGGTGGTAGGCATGGCCCGTCAGAATTGTCTGCACTCAAATGGCATTGGAGGTATTCAAACCTGCCTTTCCAATATGGTTTGAATGACTCCTTAACCACCTAAGCCAACCCCAATGGGTTTAGGATCTAAAAACTTTACAAACATAAATGTTAAAGAATGAATTTTCCTTTTCTTTTTCTTTCACACCCATGACGCTTATTCACTCTGCTGAACTAAGGTGCAAAAACATATGCAAATATTGGCTACAGTCTCTAAAGGAGTCCACTGCTGTGCAACGTTTATATCCAACACCAACAACAACAATAACAAAGAAATCAAATCAGTACCACCATGCAATTTGAACAATAAATTCCAACGATAAGTCATAGTTGAGTTGAAATAAAACCATGGAACTAAAGAACCACAACATGAGTTAATCCTCTCTTTTGAGCCAATACCTTATGTATTTGAATCAAAATATCTCTCTACATTGTCTTGCCTTACTTCCTTTCTCCTCAAAACCCATATTTTCTAGCAGCATACATCTCCTTAGCAACAACTAATACTTACATACCCACTTTTATAAAACAGCATTATTGATCACAGCATAAGAAAACACACACAGCCCCCCGCACTGACAGTTCACTACAACCTTCCGCGTCCACTAAAACTGAACAAATGAACTTGAGAACCCCCAAGAAACATAATCAAATTGTAGCATAATCACCTAGTAATTTGACCAGAAACGAGATTGAGAACTCACATGACATGAGATACGACAAGCCCACGATGCACATTGCCAAGATCACAGCACGCTTTTTGGCCTCCTCGACCAAGTCACGCCCTGTCACCCGCTTCGGCGTGCTCGTTTCCATAACCAGAGCTAGCAAACGAAGCACTCTAAATCAAACCACAAACAAATCATATCTCAATCGACCGATCATTTGATTCCGACTCTCTCTCATTCTATAAAATCTACCAAAGCGGAAATAGAAGGCATCCGGATTTCCAGAAGGAAAACAATCAACAGAGGATCGAGGGATGAAGAGGTGAGAATTATGGCGGATTCGATGGAATTTTAAGGGGAAGAAGTTGGTACTGGGGAGCGAAGAAATTGAGTGAGACAGAACTGTAAATAAGGAATGAATTTTGGAAGGGCAAATTTCAACGCGAGGACCGTTAGGTTCTGTTTTGTTGTGTATTTAATCTGCCACTTTGTAATTTTGGAAGTTTAGCCTGTTTATCTATGGGCATTCACTTTTTTAGAGGGGAAATTGTACTTACCCCCTGTGTTTATGGTGGCTGAACTTAGACCCCCATATCATCGAATGACTCATTTTGTTTGACATTGTAAATTTAGTCCTCAAAATATGAAATGTGCTTTTAACCCCTTATAGGTTGGAAAATGTGTACTTAAACCCTAAAGTTGATTAACATAAAAGGTGAAATCTCAATAACATTTGGGTTAAGTGCACATTTTTTAAACTTAAATGGAAAAACACGTTTTCAGGATTTGGGGCAAAGTGCACAATTTCAAACCATATGGGGTCAAGTACACATTTTTGTGACGACGGGCTAAGTGCGCCGCCAACCCCCAAACTACATAAAAGGTAAGTGCAATTTACCCTCTCTTTAAAAAAAAAAAAATTAAGAGACAATATTTTTTTCTATGCCTTAAATCAATTATTTAGTTGTTATATTACCTGACTTGAATACAAAATAACGTGTAATTTGGGGTGAATTCAGAAGAGATTAGGGGTAAAATAACGAGAATCATTATAAAAAAAAAAACTAAAAAAATATATATTTCATGTTTAAATAAATAATTTCAAATTTTCATCACACTAGAGTTTTTTTTTTTTTAATTCGTTAGCAAATATTCAACTTAATTAATTGATATGTAATTTTCTCAAATTATTTAGTCTTGTTCTCTTTCTAATTTCAATTCTTTGTTACTCTCATTAAACCAATAATTTTTTTTAAATTTATGATACCAATTTTGAATTTAAGTTATTAGAGACATCCAACTTTAATGTAATCTACATTACATATTAATATCATTCAAAATTAAAGAATCTCTCAATTCAATAAAACACTTTTTTGAATTTTCTTTGTAAATCATAATGCTTAAAACTTTTAATCCTTCATTGCTTCCATAAAGAAAATCTTGTTATTAACTTTTGTAATTACATTTTTCCATTTTCTTTATATATAAGGTTTTTCTTTTGATCCTCATAGCAAGATGAGAAGGATGATTGCTGGTGCATGGTGGGGATCACCTGACAGCTCAAACAACTTATTAAACCTGTATTAAGCTAAACATCTTACTAAGAAAGCTCAAACTAGTATTGATATCACGTGGCTACATAATACTAATTAAATCTTGGGTTTCTTTTAAGGCAGTGTGAAACAATCAAAATAAGTTTAGATTCCGTTTAGACTTAAAATACTATATTAATGTTTCAATGTCCATCATCTAATAACGAGAGAGAATTCTCTAATAATAAAATGAAATTTATTCCATAAGACGAAAAATGGTTGTTGCCCTTACAATACCGTATATATTCATAGTATCATGTTTTGCAGTTGGGTGTGATAAGCAAAAATTATTCCATGCAACATCACTTCTAATATTAATGAGCTCATCTCATTTAATGATTTAAATTATGTAATTTAATGTATATCAAATTATACAATACTTTTACTTATATTTGTAAAATAATTTTATTTTATAATTTAAATTATATTAAACTACAAAATATAAAAAAATTAAATAAGAAATAACTCTCAATATCAAGAAATTCACCCCTTGTCTATGGTTTTAATTGTGTAGTCCAACCTGCATTTGACAACACAATAAATTTATTTATTTATTTATTATAATATAATAAATCTTAATTTAAAAAATAACTTTAATTGAAAATAAAATTTTACCATAATTAAAATGCTTACACACCAAATTTAAAAAATAAAAAGATATCTAAAGGAAATATTAATGGCTGATGATGGGTTTGGAAAGGAAAAGTTACTTTATATTGGATAATAGATCATCTAACATACTAAAAAAATTCAAAATTCAAAATAAAAAAAAAAAAAAAACGAAATACAAGATGTCTTACCATGTGTATTTTATTTTTATCAATTAAATAAAATTTTTATTAATCAAAGCATAAGCGCTGCTCCAATTACATCAACATTAAGTTTAAGGGAACGCATACCCTGAGACTCGTAAGGAGGAAGAAAGAAAAAGGTAAAAAGTAAAATAAACTAAGGGGTTAGCATTTATTCGTTTTAATTTTTAAAAATTAAGAGAAAATTTATTTTAAAATTTTGTAATTTTAATAAATTATTACAAGAAATAAAAAAAGTATTTTAATTTATATTTTAAAATAAAATATTTTAAATTTTTTCAATAAAAATTTATTAAAACAACATAATTTTAAAATAAGTTTTTTTTATCATTTTTAAAAAATAAAACAGATAAATATTATTTTCATAAAACAAATAAGATATAACTTCTCTTTTATTGGGGTAGGTGTGTCTTTTAATCAACTACTAGTAAATGTTATGTTTCAAGTAACCAACAGAGCCAAAACTTTCACCTAATAACAAACTTTCACCTAATCACAGGAAGGTCGAGTCTTAAAAAATTTAAAGTATTAGTCCTATTTACAACCCCTTATAGGTAAAATCTAGTGTTTAAGTGTTAGATTATTATTTTAAAAAATAATTTTTTTAAATGTACTTGGAGAATTATCCACAATGATATATAAAGTTTCTTATTTTTATTTTTATTTTTATTTTTTTACAAAACTTGAAAGCCAAATCATTAAATTCGGTTGTTGAACTGCCAAAGTGTTAATTCATAAGTATGATATTGCTATGGTTATGTTTGTATCCAACAAGTCATGTTTGGATTAAAAAAAATAGTTGAGAATTAACTTTCAGTAAAAAAACCAAATCTTAATGGATAAAAATTGTTGAAAGAATGAATAACATCCTGTTTTGTTTGAGAAAAAGAAGGAAAAGAGAGGAACTGCATTTCCATTTCCCTTGGTTTATTTGAACTAAAATGCTAAAGAAATTAAAGCAAAATAAGAAAATAAATATCTCTGCATTTTAATATTTTATAATTTAAATTGAGAAAATTTTCTCTTTTATTTTCTTTTCCTCAGTAAAATCAAAAAAGTTATAAGTTAGTTTACCGTTATCTGATTCAGTGGTCACGCTTCTCACTTGGCAAGCAAAGTGGGGGCACTTTGCTCTTCAGGTCGAGGTTAGTGCTGGACATTTTCCCCTCTTTTTTAAATAGATATTAATATTACTAATGTAATTTTGATTGTAAAAAAAAAAGTTATAAGTTAATATTGAATGATTATTAATTTTATGGTGAAAATAACTTTAGAACCACATATTTAATTATACATAATATGACGAATTTACATAGTACGGTTTAAAATAAGATATTTTTTAAAAATAATGACAAAAAATTTAAATACTCTTAATAAATTAATATGTAAGTAAGATCTAATAAATTTTTTTAACAATTTAATGGATAATATTAGTATTTTAAAAATTAATATATTTTATTATTTCTTTTTTAATATACAAATAATTATTTTACAATATAATCCATACTACTAAATTACAAAATAAAAATTTTAAAAGAAAATAATTTATAAACAACTATTTTGTATTTTTTTTATATAATTTTACATATTATTTAATAATTAATTTTTATTTATTTATTTAAAATTTATAATATTA